CAGAGTAAATATAACGGTATGGACTGTTTCATTGTCCATCCTCTTTGCCACAACTCATGATTCAAGTTCGATTCTAAAATCGTCTCAAGGATTACCAATCTCCTACCATCTACCTCGTCCTTGGACTTGATATCTGCGGATCAACAGATACTTACGGTGAAGAAATTGTTCTTGCGGCAACCCTAACATTCTAGTGACCTCCTTTGAAACCACTACCATCCAATTGTTTTATACGACGAGTTTTGTGCTTACCCTTCCCTCCTGCCTCTTATCCCCAGCCCTTGCATTCTCTTCTAATTTCCATGAAGTGGAGACATAAGTTTCCGAATAGGCTGTTAATTGGCAGGACCTGAAAAGCAGAAGAAATTTTTTATACCTTAGTGAACCGGTATATTTTTGGTTTGTTGACATTCAATACATGTACTGTTGCCCACTACGTTTGGTTTACCGAGAGGCTCAAAGGCACTGTTCACGATAAAAAGGGTTTCTGAGATATTCATATATTATGAATTCGATGCTCTATCTTATCCCGTACCTGCAGTTATAGGGACGAAAAACTCCATGGATAGGGTGCAGAAAGCGGCCAGAGATTGTATTGTGTGAATGCCAGACCCATCGTGGACGAGTTTCAACGGCTTTGTAGAGGCTGCACTATTTCAAGAGACTCCCATGTAGGAAGTTCATTTAAGTTGTCAAAACCCATGGCGAAGGTAAAAGGCTGTTTCGGGCAATTTCGGCTTGATGTAGTCATCTCTTTGAGCGATGGGAGCAAGTTAAATCTCGTCCAAACGTCCCTTACATGCCATTACCGTCACGGTAATCTCGTACAACTTCCATCTCCTCTACTTTTAGAAACCCCCAGAGTAAGCGGATTTTCTCTCTCTCGCCATCGATGAAATCCTTTACGTTAGCACCTGAATAATCCTACCCAGACAGGGTACCTCGAAATTCTGTGCCTTAAAATGATGCCAATGAAAATTTTGCACATTTGCAGGTATTCTCGGTTACCGAAGAAAATCTATGTCTCACTGATGGTGCTGATATTGTTATTCGCTGCATTTATGACATTATACGGTTATGTTGATGCAACAGGTGCTTTTTGCAAAGATTGATACAAATATTATTTGTAAACAACCCTACGAGTAGGGTTGTTGCCTGTTTTGATCAAAGTGTCGGCAAGCTTTAGCAAAAGAAAATGGTGCTAACAGAGATCTTCTGGCAGGGGTGATACCAGATCAGATGTAGTAGAAGCGCTAGGATTAGGATTTGTGCTGCGAAACCCTCCTTCACGAGCCTAGTTTAATACCTTTTTTGGAAGCCAATGACGAAGAAAATTTTTAGAGCTAATTTCGGGCAAATCGAGCTTTTGCAAACCCCGAGAAATATATACAAAGAAAATTAATCTGAAAAAGGTTTTATTTGTTGAATTGCAGATCAGCCAGTACCTGTATGTCTTCCACCAACTGCTTACAATGGGCGATCAAGATTTGTCTGGGTTGGCTCCAACTTTGTTATCAGTCTCATGGTGATTTCCGTATATGGTGCAGCTCATGCTAAGTGCCGTAAACTGAATGGTAATCTTGAAATTCTTTCATAAAAATGTCTCAAAATACTTTCCCAAGCCTATCTTTTTTCGGAAAATTTTGACATTGAAGTTTTGCTTACAATGCCCTTCTGGGGAACACCGATAACTGGCAATGAAGTGCTATTTCGGTTTTATGGGTTTCCATTTACAGGCTGTATGATTCAATTAAGGAGAAAATGTAAAATTCAATCAAACTTTGACTAAATGTGAATTTTGAAGTCTTTTTTACGAACTCATTTTTGATAAGTGGTTCTCAGAGCCTACGTGGCTTCGGAATGAAGTGGGAGCCTTTGAGGAACAACCCTCTTTTCTGTCACAAAATGCTCTGAAATTTTGAAAACATTAAATACACTTTGTCAATTCTTTTTGGAACTCTAATGAGGAAGAAATTTCGAGAAAATACGGCTCAGAATACTCTCAATAATGGAATTTTGCTTCAGATCTTTTGATTTTGACTTCTTTCCGTTCAAATTTTCTTGGAACTAAACCTGTTTTTAATTTTCAGCTGTGTCAAACCACCAGCAAAGCGTTGACCGAATACGACGTCTTTTGAATTCTTTATCCATTGTTATGGGTGTATATATATCGTGTTGGTTTGTCACCATTGTTGGCTTGATTGTCACGCTGGTGAGTATATCGCTCAAATGAGGATTCTTGGGATAGCTATAAATTGTTTTGAGAAAAAAAGGAAGTTAAGCGATTGGCATTGAATAATCCTATTTTGAATGGCAGTCATATGATATCCGCTCGAAATTCTCTCCAAAAAAGGAAGGCTGTCGCAAGGGTGGGTTTGCGTTCCCCTGCAACACAAGGATAAAAATCGAATCCAAGGGAAGATCAGTTCCGGCGCACACTTTTGAAAGCCGTTCCTGGATCGGAATGTGACAGGCGATGAAAAATGAGTTTTCTATTCAGAACGAGAAGTGGCCTTCAAATGCGCAGTGGGATGATCTATTAGGGTGATTTGCCGATGTGATACTGCAGTTATTTGTTTCCCAAAGGAATTGGCTAGCATTCGAAGGGAGGATAGAAAGTGANTATCCTAGAAAGGCCGAACTTAGAACAGGACTGTGCCGTGTGTCACGCAGTACCTAGATTGTACTACAGGACTGAGTAGTTTTGGATCCGATTAGGGAACCTAGAGCGTGATAGGGAGCAATCCTACCACTACAGTAAGCTCGGTCTGAGAATGCGCGAATGATGATAATCAGTACTGGGCGCAATCTTAAGATTCATTTTCCTCGCCTTCGTCCGCCATTCGAAATTGCAATGGTGTTTGAATGAGTGCTGGGCCGATTCAACGAATTGCGAAGGACAGCCAGTGATCAAGTCAGTGCATAGAATGCCTACACGAGTTCGGTATCAACCTATCAACGGCGAAGGAATGAATCGCATGCTTGACCTGGGCGGGTATCGATCCGGGATTGGATCTTCAAGTCATACGTGTCTTGGCGCCACATGCCATTATCCTCTCAAATGAGTCTGGTATTAATCAAATGGTGACGGACTGAAAAGAGAGGATGCTGAAGAGATAGGAGGCTTGAATGGGTAGAATGAATATCAAACCAGATTCATCCCGTGTCCGTACAGCGATAGCGGACCTACTTGGGAATTCCACACCGTAAAGATGAGTGTTACAATATTTCAGTAATGTTTGGAAGTGTTGACATCTTTCAGAGAAAGGACAGCTTTCTGTTTGTACTTTACTTTTTTTAGGTCTTTCCACTTCCTACAGCGGTAGTGAAAGAAATCAATCAACAACTCGGTTGGCTGGTCATTATCAATGCGTCTACAAACTTCTTCATTTACCTATGGAGAGCACCTGAATACAGGTACAATAATGATTTTTTCCCTCTTTTTGTAAAATTTCCCTAGGAAAGTCATAGGGCTAAACTTGATACCAATGAACCAGTAACTTTCAATTGGGAAGACACTGTAGAAATGGGAGACTGCGTGGGAAAACAAATATAGGTGTAGAAGGGGTCGCCTAGGGCAGGCCGTTGAAATAGGTGGTGGAAATGGTATCTGTTCGCGATGTAGAAGATTTACAACTTTCTACAAAAGAAAGAACGGACCCTTCCACCTACCCAGTAGTCCCCAGATGTTACATTCGAGTGAATCAATTTAATTCTACGAGCAACTGATTTTCGTCAAGTCGATTGAAAATACCAACAATATACCAATGCTTTAGAAGAGCCTTTCACAACGTGCTCCAATTGGGAAGGATACAGAGCTCAACTGTAAGTGAACTGCCGTCAAACAAAAGTCAAATTGCTGCTACTCGAAGGTCGACTATTTTTAAACCATCTGTACCATGAAATCTATCTGGCTAATAAAAGAACTTTATCACTAGTTCGAAATATAATTGAAATAAAAATAATCAACATAAAACCGAGGCGTATGTAGTATAGTGTCAGGAAGCGGCGCCAGCAGACATTCTAAAGGCAATGGATCAGATCCTGAACTAGCACCATTTCATACTAGCCGTAATTTTTTCATCAGAAGCCGACTTATTGGTATCAGGGTTGCCTGGAAAGCAGAAGCTCGATTTATACATCAATTGGTCACTAATAGGCCGGTATAGGCCATGTATGCGTTCAAACGGATCCGAATGAAAATGAGGTGCTAGGCTTATTTTGAGAAGAAATGACTGGTTCCATGCTTTTTATTCTTTCATTCTGACACTCGGCTCGTTGTTTTCCTTCTGATAGTCTCGTTGCTTTCGAGTTGATTTTCAAGTACCTTATTTACTTGTAGGTCTTCTTCGGAAACAACAAATTGACACCCTGTAAACCCGCTATGTGCCAGAAGTTCATACGTAAAAACTAACCTTGAACAATGCCATAAAAAGAGGACTCACACGCTCCATCTAATTTACTTGCGGAAGATAGGGACAGAGTTCGAGAAACTAGTTTTGCCTACAATGACGCCGAGTTACGAACAGAATGGCCAGCACCTGGAAAAAATGGAGCCCGCACCTATGCCTTCCTTGGTATTTAACCTACACATTACTTTAATGGGACTCGTCCTTTAGCTACTTGATGAAGAGTTATTATGGCCTATCAGGAACAGTAGGCACAAAACAAAGGGCCGTTCGGCCGACTTCGCAGGTCAGCCGCTCTGGATTTGAAATAACTTGCAGAAAGACATTACCCAGCAAAGCAGTACAAGTCCGAAATCTGAATTTTCATTGTTTACAAGTGGCTTCAAATGGCCCACTGAAGGCAGGGTACATAACATAACGGAGCACTGAAGATTGATACGTTCTTATTCGGGATGCGCCCGAAGAAGAACATATCAACGCTGAATTCGACTTCCGCTCAGGAGTGAGGACAATGAAATACGTCATTGACTCGCGTCGTCCTCACAATAACAGGCTAAAAGATGCTATCAAATTTTCATTGTCCTGAAATTGATCAGCAGCCAAGTCTCAGGTAAACCTTATCCACTGGACTTTGTGGTGGTCTAGAGCGAATGTACTCCAGTACATCCAGATAAGCTAGCTTAGTGTGTCCTAAATGATTTGCCCATGTAGTTATCCTTGATTGATGCCTGAGCTGGAGTATGAAAGACAATTGTGGATACATAAACATGAGTATCCTCGACTTCTAGACCGACTAGACTAGAAAAGGATTAAGCCAGCGAAGCGATAAAGGTTCATTAAAGTTGTATATCGTCAGTATGTTCTACACCACGATTTGACCCTCACTCCTGTCGTCTACGCTCACTTCAGCAATATCTGAGTTCCCGCCATCCCCTCGAACTTGATGGCAAGACTGTTTTTATTTCCATCTGTCGATATCACAAATTGAGAGAGCTTATCCTAGTGGTACCTACGGGGATCTAAAGCGCTAAGAAAAGATCCAGAGCAAAATGCTTTTGGAATTTCCTTTCAACAGTGAGAACAGAGTTTTCGATGTTATTTCTAACAATGGATTCTGATGATTAGACTGAAAGTTTTGTAGAGAAAAAAAGTCATCTCGGAGAAAGAGCCAACTCCAATGAAAGCCAAATCATCGAAAAATCACTGGCTATCGCTATTCATCTGATGCTATCTTGAGCAACGTCGACAACTTAACTGATCCTTTCTTTGAACTTCAAACTTCAACTCAAACATCGGTTGAAGTTGATCGAGTTATCTCAAAAGGACCATCGCATCGCACGATGACTGGACGTCGACGATCCCCACGGACAAGTTTCCTAGCTTTCCAAAGCAGATTAGCATCGAATCAATTGGATCGTAGCAGATTACATAAGAAATAGTCTTTTCAATAAGACGAATTGACGAACCTCCAGTCTCTTCGCCATCCAGTTCCTGTTTCAAATTGATCAAATATTTACTGTTTGCTTAGTTAGTTATGTTTTTTATCTATTTATTTGGTCTTAAACTTTAAAGGAATATTTTATCAAAGCATGGCTGTAGAAATAGTGCTCTTCTGTGTGTAGGGGTTCCCAACACAACTACTGTGGAACTCAAAACAAAAAAAAAACTTATTTCGGCAAATGCATAATTTTCTGATCCATTTCGTCAAATTGATTATTTCTGACGTAATCCATTGCAGCCTAAGTGATCTGGCGCTAAACTCGGACAGTAAGACAGGGAACTCGCCTCAGAGATCCCTTTTTGCCCATCCGTCGCGTGATGATCGGATTGAACTGTCCTCGAAGTTCTCATACGAGAAGTCTTGATTAGAGGAATTGGGTGGCACCGTTTGGGCTGCAGATGCCATGCTAAACTTGACATTGGCTCGGATCTCGCCCGAGACAGCCAAGCCTTTCATAAGTTAGGAGGAGGTTGAGCTGTGCGGAATTCCCTAAAATAGAAACTACCTTCATGGGCATGAGCTGATCATGTTTAGTCATTGTATTTTTTCCAAATAGGTGTTCTTATGACTTTACCTGGTCCTGAACCTAACCAACATGTCCCACAACATATTGATTAAACCTACAGATTTTCCCAGTCATTGACTTCTGACTTGATCATTGAATTAGGTTCGTATAACCCATACAGCTGAGCGTTTCATCGCTTTGTCCCTTCGTTGGCTACAAAAATACCCGTTCACACGGCGTCTCACAGCGCGTACAATCAACGGAAAAACCCGAATTTACGGCAAAAAATGCGCTCTCGCGCCAAGTCGTGCCTGTTACCGACGGCTGCGACACTCCGCCACTACAACGGCGCCGATCAGCTTTTCATCGCCGCTGCAGAATTGATGAATCGCCACTACAGGTGCTCTTGGCTGTTGAGCTGAAGAGTTTTTGGTGGAGACCTGTTTGTTATCCACTAGAGGCTTCGAATTACTAACACCTGAGTCTTCGTAGGTGATTCCTGGTAAATCCTCAAACTTTCGGTTTGACCCTGAGAAAATATCATTATACCCAAGGACCGAACCTCAGGAACCTAGTGTATACACGGGTGTGAAAAAGCGATCTAAAAAAATTGGTTGGTACCCAAACCGACTTTTATTTTACCAACCAGGAAGCAGCTTAATAGATAGGCCTTTTTTGTTGTCTGGGTACTTGCCTGGATTGTTTCAGGGAGAGCTCTGAGTTGAGCAGTAGCTGTTTCATCCACCCCCTCCCCTCCCTCTTGCTACCTATTTTTCCCAGTCAGTAACAAGAACTTGTAACTGCAGTAATCCGCGAATCTCATGCTTACAAACTGCTTTATTTTTACACCACCTGTAAAAGAGATGGCTTGAAGCCGCTTTCCGATCCTGACGAAAAGCTGCTTACCATAACAGCTTATACGTCGAAGCATATGGGTGATGAAGCCACACGACTATCCCCGCCTATACCAGTCCCATCATAGGCCGGCATAAGTTTAACCAACTAGATTTCTTTCCCAGAAAGAAGAAATGATGGGTACTATCAATGAAAATGCATTAACAAGGATTGCTAATGCATTAATTTGCAGTAAGATCAGGGACATTCTTGCAAGGGTCTCTATTTTTACACCGCCCGTGGGAGACAAGGGCTAAAGCCGATTTAGGATCCTAACGAAAAGCTTCTTACCAGAACAGCTTATATTAGTAGTAACATATCGGTAATGAAGTCACACGATTATCCCCAGTCTATATCAGTCCCATAACATGAAGGCTGAGGTTAAAATAGATCTGATTTCCTTTTGAACAGGAAAAATGATGAGTTCAACCAAATAAATTGGATTGACAAAGATAGATAACTGCAGTAATTTGCAATAAAAGCAGTATCATACTTATAAGGACCTCTATTCTTATACCCCCGTGGAAGATAAGGATAAAGTTTCTAAAGTCTCTGAGTTTTGAAGAAAAGCTTCTCACTGGAACAGCCTTTACGAAGTGGTTTACCGATAATGAAGCTGCCAGACAATCATCCTCTGCCTAAATAACTCTCATCGGATGGCGGTGAATGTTTAAACAAAGGAGATTTCTTTTCCGAAAAAAAAGCGAGGCAATTAATTTAATTGGATCGGTAGAGCCTTCGTTCCAACAGGGCAGCCCGTTCGGATATTTGAACCGGAGCAAAAAGTGACATGCCATTTTAACGATGAATGAAAGCGACCAAACGATTTCACAGAAACAGCCAATGTTCCTTTTGTAAGTCAAAAATTCCATAACAGCTGTCCTATCTAGAGAACAATCGGTGCAACGTTGCAGTTGACTGTTTGCAAAATATCCCACTTTTTCAATAAAAGTTCCTAGTCCAGTGAAAATTTATTTATTGGATCAGCCCCCGCTATTTCAGAAGAAGTTCCAGGTGTAGCAATTGTAGCTAAGCAGTTTCAGAAAGATTTGAATGTACCTCCCAACTGGAAACTCCCAATAAGGCAAGTTAAACTCGGGGAGGGGAGTTAATGTCCCTATTTTTACAACAACCCTTGAAAAATCTGCAATTCGTCGATTTTCTATTTAAAAACTCAACATGAACAAAAATGGGGTCAAGGATCCTGATGGATCGATCTGACCCATATAGCAGTGAGCCAAACCACCCAGGCCTATTTTATTGCATATTCCCTCCACCCATGATTTCCTCACGCAAGAAAAAGAACATTTTGGTTTCTTTTCGTTACTACATACAATTAATCATAGAAAAAACACTGCCTTGTACATCGGCTGGCCACTGCAAGTCATTGTATTGGACACAGACGCATTCAATACACCGCTACGATTCTAAATGGGAGTTGGATGCGGGACATTGGACGCACATCTGAAGCTGGTGACGTTGAAGCTTCGGTTAAATTGGGTACACACCTACAAGTGAGACGAGATACGAAGTGACTACCTCTGGGCTTGACAGTCTCGATGAAACCTAAAGTTTCAAATTCTTCTCCTAGACGCTTTGGGAATGCCTCCTTTGAGTTCCCATCGTAAATTTTAGGCTCTCGCCCTCAACGATTGGCAAGTTATTGACGGACGTCCAATGGCATCCAATCGCATACCTTCACTGGAGGTCATATTCTGTTTACCTTGTAACAACTGACGGGAAGGTTTGCCCTGACCATGAACTTGCTAAAAACATATTCTGCTCTTGAAAATCCTTCCTTATCCAGTTCCTCTCTTAAAAAAGGGAAATACTCGTCCTTTCAAGACCCTGTGAGTGCATAATCCACGGATTNGACGCTTTGGGAATGCCTCCTTTGAGTTCCCATCGTAAATTTTAGGCTCTCGCCCTCAACGATTGGCAAGTTATTGACGGACGCCAATGGCATCCAATCGCATACCTTCACTGGAGGTCATATTCTGTTTAGCTTGTAACAACTGACGGGAAGGCTTGCCCTGACCTTGAACTTGCTAAGAACATATTCTGCTCTTGAAAATCCTTCCTTATCCAGTTCCTCTCTTAAAAAAGGGAAATACTCGTCCTTTCAAGACCCTCTGAGTGCATAATCCACGGATTCCTGCTTTCCTCAATTGAATGGAACAACGATGAGTGAACGTTTATTGCTAAAACAGTATCAGCACGTCTAAAAATTAACTTGGCAACTCACAGATGATTAGTGCCCTGTTGCCAGCTACGAACATAACAACGAGGCAATGGTGACCATAGAGAAAAAAGAAAAAACACATGGGCGTACATGAAGCCTGCCATGGCAAAATCAATTACGATGTCTATTGATGACGTAGGATAATGAGAAAAAATGATAGCAGAAAGATTGATTGTGGAAGGATGAATTATGGTTGTGAATGAAGTATGATGGATCAATAGCCGACGATAGGACACCGCGATGACCGTGAAATACTATTTTCAAAAAAATTCAAACATAAACAGACATAGTAAATAGTAGCACTTTTTTCTCGAGAGAATAAGGATCATCATTGATAACTTGCAAACTTATAAACTGCATCAGTTCACGTACGTACTTAACCCTAAATGATAACAGCACGAAAGAGATTGGGTGGGGGAAGACATGTGTGCTTTGTGAATGGTTTTATGAATGATTTGAGTTCGTAACACTCTTTTTCTTCTAAAAAGACCGGCGATAATCGAGTTCAACAACACCCACGGCACGAAAGAGTGACAAGAAGAGTTGAAAACTCGACACGTAAGATCCGACAACAATCTGTCTCATAAGTCCCTAGCAAATGAACATTTGAAAATCACATACAATGAACCGACTAAACCAACGCCAAAAAAGTTCTCAAACAAGAAAATCAATACGACGACAAGGTTATACGAAAAACTAAATAATACCAATATTGTTTTAATGCAGTATCAAATTTTGGGAACAATAATAGATAGCGCGAGATGAAAATGATAGTGAACGCGGGGCAATTGACTACAATACGGATGCGCTAAAACCAGATTCAGAAATGTGCACATTTTTGCAAGACGTAAAAAAATGAAAGCACCGCTTATTTCATTGCACTTGGATCTTTGCCAAAAGCAGTCAACCATTTTAGTGGCTTCTAGTGCGACAAAATTAGCAATACTACAAAGCGATACATAATGGTCAAAACAAGGCCAGTATTGTCCAGCTTGGACGAATCTCTGAATTATAGGCTCGAGAAAATAAAGCGCAGTGGTATGATTCATAATAAGAACGAACTCAAACATATACGGAGTGAAAGAGAATGCAAAGAGATAACGGCAACTATGGTGTATGGTAGTAGGGGAATACACGAAGAAGGCAGTAGGTACGCATAACGAACACATATCTGGGCCTGGATAGCGCCGAAAGACGGGCAGTGCGTAGATAAAGCACCACCGCAACTACACACACGTTTCGTTGACACACACACATACACACTACATTATAAAACAATGAAAGCGCATTCTTGGGAGCGGTGGACGTAATGTCCTTGACTACTACACAAGAGAATTAATTTTGGATACGTTGGGTTTACCATAGGTCGGAGAAATTGGCAATTCAAGTTGAAGAGGTATACGGAGCTAAAACAATGACAGCGTTCACATATAAAAATCACAACATATGGAAAAGAGATGATGATACTGATGACTAAATCCAGAAGATCGATACTGATACTGTTGAGCTGAAGATACGATGCTCAAAACGTAGAAATAGCAAGCGCAAAAAGTGTAAACCGGTATTTGTGCTGGGCATCGCTGCACGGGACGCGGCGACCATAACGGTGAGGGCCTAGGCCGCCGTGTGAGCGCGCAGAGCGAAGCGATGGACGGCGGTCGACCGCAAAGGCACGCGGCGGACATACGCAGCGATGTCAAGCTGAACACCGGCAAACACATTTACGCAAAATACATCACGTTATTTGCATCAGGATGCACCTAAAACAAAACAGCAATCATCTAAAGTCCGACTTGGAAAGGCAACATTCGAAAACCGAAATCCGTACCTGTACGGCTCTGGCCATGTTGGAAAGTGTAGTGTCTTCTGAGGTTCCCGATGGCTGACTGCCTTCTCCTGAGTCGTGTTCCCTGTCTACAAGATGATACCGAGCTCGGAAAGCTACCAGATGGGCATAATAGGCGGGTGCTGGTATCGAAACCGAACGTGTACATCGCACATATGTGTGGCACATCTAAATGGACACATGATTAAAATTGAACGCAGACTACATCCCACACTCCCTCCCCCACAAATGCGAAACGGTTGAACAAACCTGATAAGTAAGCTGCTGAAGCTCGTCAGCAGTAAGCTGGTTATCATCCCATAGCACATGATAGTGCGATGGACGAGATGTTCCTTGAATACCCGCATGTGAGCAGAGGTAAAAATCAAACTCCGTAGGATGAGTAATGCCGACATCAACAGTTGTACCCGGTGGAATATTGAAAGCTTTGCCAACTTGGTCCTTAAAAACGGGCACTAGGAACATAGCAGTGCCTGATAAGTTCTCGTAACCATGACTTTACCTTCTTATCTACAGCAAATAGACGTGTGTGATGTCGTTTTTGAACTGCGATGAATGTCATTCCCGGCTGATAGCCGCTTTCGAGCATCATACAGGCCTCACGCATTGCACGCAGCTCGTACTGCAGAACCTACAACGTAAAAGTTATAGCATGAATGAGGGAACAGTTGATGATTCAAACGATAAGATAAGTCATACGTAATAAAATTGTCCTTCCGATACGCCGTCTCTGTAGACAACGATGCGCCTGGGTTTGAAACGTGTGTTACGATAGAACTGTACAAGCAGCTCTCGAACCATGTACGTCAAGTCCGAAATGATTTCTTGACGGTGCTGCTGCACTCGAACCGTGGCCGCGTATCTGAAATGAAATTATTACACCCGCTTCACAAGTTTACTAGCAATACTGTGTAAAAGTGCTGTAAAACAGAACCACTTCCACAAGGGTTAAAACCCACTGTAGTAAGCGTACATACAAACTACATTTGTGTAGTGTAACACCGTTACCTGCTCGGATGTGCATCCATGCTGGCTACAACGGCCGCGATAGACGGCTTACGTGAGTCTCCGGCTGGAGGATGTGTGATATCACAGCCAAAGAATATCACTGAAAACCAGTGTAAAAGCAAATCGAACAATAATATAATTTTTAAAACAAAACTAAAACAAGAAAAACCTTACCAGGTTCGTTGAAAATCCGCGGGCGAACGGCCGGGAGCAAAATGCTGTTCACACCACCCAACTTCACGTTCATCTTCAGGCACAAGTTCGACAAAGTTTGTGGTGTAGTTTTGATCACGTTTTTAGCTTGGACGCATTGTGTTGCGATTCCAAGCACTGTATCGCCTACACGCTTTACTTCAGCTGAAAATGCAATAAATAGGATCCGGATGGAAGAGGAATCAAATGTTTGTAACGTTACCATATACGGGTGTTTTGCCGGGCAGAATAACAACTACAAGTTGAATGCCCGAGAAGGTTTGCTTCAAGTATTTGAACATCGGCTCAACTTGATCGACTCCCATGGCATACCTGAAATAATCGCGTTTCCAAGGGTAATCACACCTGCTCTAAAAATTAGGTTCATGGTCAAACTCACGATTCTCAAACAGTAGTATTATAAGATTGAAAAAGACTGTTCGAATGGTGTTTTTATTTCAAAAAGCTAAGAATGCGAGCAAACTTACTTGCAGAAGCAAGGCTGTCCAACAATTGGCATACCCGCATCGTTAGATATACGTTGTAACTGAGCTGTGAAGTTACGCAGATCATTCTCCTTGACGTGTTGCTGTTGCGCAAAGCAGGCAATTGCCCACACCTTCAAATTAAGAACACTACCATTCACCACGCATTTCTACCTAATCAATCCTTAACTTGTACACACCTTCACATCAATTCCAGTGTGGAACTGCTTGCCACGCATATCCCACACTCCCTGATTTGGCAGAGCTGTCGCTTTGTTACGACCGCCATACTGCAACTTTGGCGCAGACAGAACACGGCCTTTCACTTCGGTCATAGCCGAGTTGATAGCAATACCAAACTCATGGGCAAATGGATCCGCGGAAAACTCGGCTTTTCTTACAAGACTTGCGATTTCACGCTCTCTTTCAGGAGCAGAACGAGCCGTAGCCTACAACAACCGATAGAATTTTGAAGTGGAAAAGAAAAGTGGTTTCCCTTACCTTGATCATGGTCGACGTTTGTGTATCAGTTAATTTCTTGATGCATCGTTGCCCTGGCACTACGTGACATACTTCTGGTGGCAAATATGTATGCTTCTGTTCTTGTCCAACCTACGAAGCAAAAGTTACCATACAGTAACAAAAACATCGATATGTGCTTTCACCTCACCTGAAGGCATGGAAGATGTGGATACTTCAGCTGAATGCGATATTTGTCATAGAAATACTTCGCCACTGTGCATTCAATCGTCTGACCTGTCTCCAGTTGCAGCGGAAAGCTGCAGAAAAAAAATAAATAAAATAGCAGACTTCAGAATGTTGGTAAATTGGTGGCGTTAAAATTACATCGGAAACTTAAGCAGACTCATTGTTTTGCTAGACAGGGAGTGAAATTATGCTCAGACATTATAAAGTACCATGATAAGTAGCGAAATTCTGTTCAGAAAGAAAGGAATGAAGGAATCTGTAGATAAAGAGTGGAGGAAGACAACGACAAACACTCAAGTAGTTTCCGAAATAAGACTGACAGAAAGTAACCAGAAGCAAATTACATACGTTTGCGTTTGTGCAGGTCTTCTGGTCACATTGCAGACGCGATACTTTCGGCGCATTTGCCCACAATGAGTGATTTCAATTTTCAGACCGCGAATCTCCTTGGTGAACTTCACACGTTGCGCATCGGACAACGCACGCCGTTCAGTAAGAGCCTAAACAATATGTCTGATATTGACGTCAACCACCACAACAGTCAGTAAGCAATATGGGAAAGGTTATGGTTAATATAGATATATTTCGACATATAGCTGAATTCACGTATATGTTAGCAGAACATCGCCGTTTCTACACATTTGAACATTTAAAAAGCATGTACAGAAAAAGAAACAGCACCTGCACGGGAAGCTCCAAAACTTCTGCGACGAACTCTATGACGGGCATGGATCGATAGAATGCCGTTGCAGACACTGAAGAGAGGGACGCACTATCCAGAAGCCCAACTAGATGAATTCAGTGAAAGCACTGTTACTGCTATACCTTACCATCAATGTTAAGCATCATTTTCCACTGCGATGGCCGAACTGATTGATGGAATCCAAACCAAACTTCACGTCCACCACCCAGTTTACTTTCCATGTGATACTGTCCATGTTGTTGAGGTGGCTGATGAGGGTGAGCCGGTGGTGAGAAGAACGACCTCCCCACAGGTGTGTACCTATGTGAAATTAATGTTTATCGGAGGATCAAATCTGGCAACGGTTGAGAAAAGGAAAGTAAAGAGCAAAGCAAGGAGATGGATATAATAAAAGGGAGGGGGACTAACTTAAGGCTGGGAAGATGTCTCAAAATAACATCCATAGCCTGAACGGCTTCGAATGGTACTTGACGTATGCGCCCCTCCATTGCATCCTCTAATGTTGACAACGAAACTTGGCCTGCCCATTTCACAGTCACAGTAAACTGACGCTCCACTGCCGAGTCACCAGGAAGAGTCACCTAAAGTGAAGCATATAATAGTAAACCAGATCATGCGAAAAGCTCCCCGAACTAATCAATAAAAGAGGGTGATCACTGCGGGTGATACCCTTATACAAGTAGCAATAGAAAAGCAGTAACAATAGGTGTATTGACGCTCAAATAAATTTGAGGCCATTTGCGCGCACCTCAAACTCCATCTTTTCTCGTCCGATCGGCAACGGTTCCCGGGTGTACATATTCCTCTTTCCATCATAAACTGGTCTACTTGTACTGAAGTACTTGCCAAAAGAGCGGATCATGCAGCAAATAATCTCCCTAAAATAATGGTAATGCTCAACGGGTTCTTATCAAAATAAAAAAATTGAACAGAGTTCATTCTAAAACATACTGACCGATTTACTCTTCGTGGACATTTGTCTGGTGATACATCAACGTGATAATGCTGTATGGTACCACCTGGCATGCGCACTGCGAAATGGTTTGCTCGCAGCAGAATGGAACGTCCTTCGAGACCGTGGTTTGGTCGACGTGGGCATTCGAAATGTGCGCCACCGGAAAGCCTGCAACAAACATGTGCTGAAAGTACATGATTTAATATTTCGGGACTGAAAGGAGCAGTGCTTTGCAACGGCCACGGCCACCCACAAAGAGTTAAGTCAAAAACTTACGGCGGCAGTTCGCCTCCGCTGGACTGTTCTTGTCCTCCAGCGCGAGAGCGAGAGCCCTGAGATGTATCCGTTTGGCCTGGAGGTACACCAATAGGTGCCCCAGGGGCCAAGCTTCCTCCCTGACGTGAAGGAGCATCAGAATAAGATAGCACACCCGAGCCAGGTAGCATTGGCGTGGTTGTCTGAGCAGCAGAAAACATATCCTGAAAAACATGCTCTTAGATAGCCTTGGGTAGGGTGTAAGAGGATTGCCCTCCTCATCCCATTCATATCACTTATGAACCCCGGAACTATATCCTTGATATGACAAAAAAGATAATCTGGCGAGAATTGATAAGACGTGAGAGATGTCGAGGAGAAAAGGAAACGTAGGTTCGTACACGAAATGTAATGAGGGAAAGGAGGGATTTCTCCGATGATGCTGCAATCGCTGCAACTAAACAGCTTCGCCTCGTCCTTTTTCACTTTAGTAAAATGATTTCCGGGACTGATACTCTCTGAGCTGCATAAATTTCACAAAACAAATCACATGAATAGGAAAAACCATCAAATATTATCCAATCGCGTATCATGTGATCACATCCTAGATCAAAAGTTAAACAATCACGAAAAAAAGTATTAACGAACCTGTAACGGAGGTTGTTGCTGCGCATGATGAGGGTAAGGAGGACCGCCCATGAAGGAACCTGGCATTCCAGGAATATGACCACCCAATATACCCGGCATGTATTGTTGTGGTTGTGGCGCATTGCCACCAGCTCCGCCACCAGCACCGAGCATGTTAACGGGCTCGTTGAATGAGAAACTATCTGAAATATCTAGCTGACCAAAGCGAAATTGATTGTGAAAGCGTTGTACAGCGGCGGGTCGTCAACATTAGAATCGGGGAATACGAGAATCATCGACGATCGCGATTAGTCACTAGGCACCGCCACCAAAAGTGGCATAAAAAGCTGCTAAAACAAAAACTCACCTAACATACTCATAACCTGTTGTTGTTGCTGATCAATCCCAGCGGCCATTATGACGATGTGAAAGAGGGCAGGGAGACAAACAAAGGCGCAAAAATGTGAGCACGATACGAGGTACGGTTATACTGACCTAAAATCCAAAATGAAATTCAATCGAGCTACCACAAATGTTCAGGGAAGAAAACTGGATGCAGCAAACTGACCTATTTACTAGATAGGCAGATGAGATCGATGTCGATGGGAAGATGTGTTTCACTCCCAACTCGACAAAATATCACAGAAATATGCTTAAGACGTCTAGCACGCACTTGATGGTGTCAGTACATCGCCAGCGCTAGCTGCTCTGAAATTTCGAAGAATTATTTGAAGAGATTTGCGAAATGTACTTACATTACTGCATCATGAGCAGTGAACGAGCAATATCATTTCCGTGATAATGTGAGCCTATTTGTGTGAATCTAATCAAGAAAGATAGATACAACAACAAAAAGTGTTCCTGATTCAATGAAGTTACGAAAGAAATTAAATTCAAACTTTACGAGGAACTAATGGCAGGAATACTGAGTGAGAAAATTGTCTCATTAATATGAGAGAAAATTCCGTATCATTAAGGAAGAAGAAAACTCAATATGAAAGTCCCATTAAAAGACCGGGAATCATGACTGGACTGCACCATTAAGCGCAAGTTCGCTTGAAAATAGATGCGGGGACCCATTTCTAATTTAGCATCCCATTTTTCGTCCCGAAACGTCAAATGAAAGCACATAGAACCATTACCGGAATTCATTGAACTTAATGCTATCTGAAAACTGCCATTGAATGCAATAGAATAGCACGATCCCTCACACATGTGTTATTACATGTGCTTTGAAACCTCACACATGCAATAGTTGTGTGTGGGTTCGATATTACGAAACGGTGTTCACATCGAGCAGAGGCATAGGATGGGGTCAAAAATTGTAAATCCATGCGACGCAAGGGATGATGTCTTCTCTTCTAATCTTCTCCAACACTATAGGAGCACCATCCCTATGATGCGGAGAATTTACAACAGGCAGCTGCGGTCGCCCACATGAAGCGAGTGGTGCCTGTGCGGAGCTTTGAAGCACACTCTAGCAACAGATCGATACAACAACGCAAGTAAGTGCAAAACCTGCAGAAGAATCATCACTAAAAACTTGTCTCACATGACTTTGTAGGACAACCTTGTAGAAAATCCTCAAAAAGGTTGAAAATAGCGCAAGATGAACCAACTTGAGAACAACACTGGTGTCATTCTGCGGTCTCATTGCACAATGCGATACTGAGAATCAATAACCCCTGAAACATTCTGCCTCACTTCAAAATTCAAAACCAGTGCACCTTCGATTGGTGATGTCTAAGAGGAAAAGAACTCGAGACATATCCAGAGTCAGTCTTTGAGCTGGATTTAATCGAAAACCAACCTAATGCTCTTCAAGAGAATAAATCGAATCCCCACCCACGTACGCGACAGCTTTAAATGGGAGGAATAAACCACTCCACTTTAAAAACCTATAATCGGATATCAGGAAATCAAGAAACTAATAGCCATGTCGCACGTTCCAGACTTCGCTCATTGAAAATGATGAGTTGCTCTCAATAATCTACCCGGTCATTTTCGAGACCGACTATTTCAGTCACTAGCACAAAATCCTGACCTAGCGGAACCGAGAAGAGTGCAAAAGTCATCTCCTAATGTTGCCTGCACCGAAAAGCTGAAGCAAAATTTGGTGAGCCCTACCACATTCAACTTCAAGCACAAGAGAACGGGCACACTATCTTTAGTACTTACAAGTCAGCTGAGAAAATTCGACTTCCCCCTAAACTGTCTTCTGTCTAAACTTTCAATTCACAGCGAAAAGCGGACGCACTCACAAGATTTACATTACTAATACACCCCAATTGAAGTAAAACATTAGAGACCTGAATCACCACCACGAAATGCTCAAAGTCTGCCAGAATCATAAAAGAAGTGTTTAACATGTCCCACAAGAAATCTAACCCATAATTTCGATAGCTCTTCATGGCCTATGATCGAGTAGACAACTGCCATGAGTTACTCTTTAGTGGCAAAATGCTTTCCGATGAGCATTTAAAAAAACCAATTTTGGTTAGTAAAGAAATCCCATTCCTAAATTACCGAGTAGTAGTTGAATCCTCCACTCATGCCATTGATCACTGCAAATGGCTTCATAGAATCTATGAAAATTTCCCTTCGGATTTCTGTAGTTTCCGGTAAACAATATACATAATAATTGCAGTTGAATCACTTTGAAACTTTTTTGATATAACTCCCTGCTACCCATTCTCTGCTCCCATGAGGGATAAACTTGGAGAAACCGATCGTAACAGTCTTGAATGGCTTTACCACAACATATATGTCTTTTTGGATATTTCAAAAGTTGATCCCATAAGCATCTGAGTTAAATTTGCGTATATATGCATGGAAGCGCTCCAGCTATATTGCGAAATGCTTCACTTTGCACAAAGAACAATAACTTCACCTCGTGAAGAGCCCAATATAACTTATTAATACCAACATCATATTGCTGAGATCCACGAAATATAATTTTAAACTACAAGGAAGGTTACTGCCAGCAATCTTAAAGGTGAATGAGAAGAAAGTACCACGAAAACCATAGAGTCCAAGTCTCGCTCCAACTTTTTTCTGCTTAACAGCACTCAAACAAACATGTAGATGTGAGATGTCGGATGCAGATAGACTTGACAGGACTAAGCCCAGAACTAATAAACCACTGTTCATCTATGAAATAAAATCCAGTAGTAACCAGTAAGATTTCGCAAGCAAATTTGCCTTTAAGTTGAGACGTTCAAAAGGAAGACCATAAAGTTGTACTTCTTGTGATGTAAGCAAAATCTGGCTTAAGTTCAGCACTAATTACAAGTATCTAGAAGTCAGTGACAAAACAACGCGGGACGTCAACAGACCACGGAAAGCCCCACTTCTAGTGAAAGTCAAGTCTTCTAGTCAAGTGCTGGAAACTGCATAGCGACCCTGTGTACTGAAAGGGGCGTGTCTATAGAAGACGAAAGAGCAGAAAGTTCAACGAAAAATCAGATTTCAAAAAGATCACCGAGGAAACTAGAAAAGCATATAGTTGTATCAATTCACGAGATAAGCGAATCTGCCCAATTTCCTCTCCCTACCACACACCCTTTTCCGTGTCAGATACCCGGTTAGGCGAGCATTCGCAGTATTTGTTAAGGTACAAGTCGACCTCACCCTACCTGGACATATTTGCAGACAGTGCGCGCCAATAATTGCCAAGGTCACTGAATAAGTCGATAATCCGTGTACACTGTACCCTACTTTGTAAGTCATTCCATTAAAAATGTTGTCAGATTGGTAAATATACAGGAGGCAAGAACCAAAGCAACTTATATAGATTACTTCACAAATGCAGCCTAACTGCGACTTACAGCTGCTTTTAGGATTTCCTAGTACAATGCTTAGAACATTCCTTCCCCATTTAGAGTTTATCAACTTTTTAGAACGGCAGATATTCGTCGAGGTTAGCGTGAGAATAAGTTCAGCTGCCACATGAGCCCTGGCTTTTTTTAGGCCCACATAAATCAATGCAGCACAGATTACATACATAATCTTCAAATGATCCTCTTCGTACAAAATTCTCAACAAGTATGGCTTTTAATCAATGACGTTCGTAAAGATAACACTGAAATAGTTAGTGAAACTCAAAAAGAGCGATAAAGTAGCATGCAACAATCCCAAAATACCACGGGACATAGCGATGCCAAATTCCGTGTAAAAAAAGGAGTAACTGCTAGCTTGGGGATCATCTAAGGGAATGAGTAAGTGAAAAGGATGATATTAGCATGCCCACACACGCATGACCACATTTAAAACACAAATGTACACAGTGATTTCCCCGCGTCGGCGTATCAGTTACCCGGAACCTCAAGCATAAAAACGTTCACATTGGATGGATTGTTAGACACGGAGAGATTGACGAAAGCAGGTGAATCAATAAAATCAATGCGTTGTTAAACAGCAACCAAACAAACCCCCGGTGCGAATGCACTGCTGCGAAAAGGGCGCACATCGATCGTTCGATCACACAACAGTTGGTTGCAGACGCGGTGCGGCTGCCGAGCGCGTTTCGACCACAACGCAACACCTCCGTGCCGGGACCAGTCGTACGTAAGTGCCTTGGTCCTTTAATATCGTTTCATTACTTGGCTTATTCGGTCTCGCTGGTGATTTTTAAGTGTCGCGTTCCCGAAAGGTCACCCGGATCGTGTCGAGAGAGTATACAGGATGGTCCTGTGCTGTTCTGTGTGTGGCGTTCAGTTAATATGCCAGAGTTGCATGACTTTTTTGGGGTTTTAGAATGCCAAACCCTTCTCAGACTATGCTTTGTGTTTTTGATCATTTATGAGATAGCTGTTCGCCGACATTAAAGTAGATTTGTTGTTTTCGGTGGGTACAATCGAGGGGATCAATCCCTCACTTCACATAATTTGTTAAGTCGCTGGGGTATCTGCTCGCCTTCAGTCACGTAAATCAAACTTTTTCTTGCTTTGTACCAAAAATGTTCAAATATAAATGGGTGTCTAAAAGGCCGATTGATTCTGTCAGGCTTAGCCTGGAAAGTTATTCTTCGTCAGTCTGCAGTGGGAGATTTTTTAAGAACTTACTCAAACGAAGTAAACTGCAAAGTGGGTTTGGGAAGGTGGCATGGGGCCCCTACTCATGTCTGGGTCTTGAGTCTATGATGGGACCGATGTCTTCACCCAGGGTGTTGGCGTTCTTGTTTTGATGGCTTCTCTGAATTAAAAGCGGAAGGATACTTCTGATGCTACTTCAGAAAAGATCACCTGATCGCTGTATTGGAAACAATAAGTACGCTAGGTTTTGGGGATGGCCCTGATTCAATTTGGAATTCGGGCACAGACCTTACCTCCAAGCCCTTTTGCTTTCCCATAGCGTTTGCATTGTTCCATAGCCGGCCAAACAAATTATGGGTATTGATTTGTCGCAGGCAAACGGCGGCCAACAGGACTGGCATCGCCCGCGTGCCATTTATACGATAGGTATCGACTTATCTCGAGCTAGACTTTCACTTTTCGAGAACATGAAAACGCAAACTATGTAAGCAGCCCTCTCCGACCCATTGAAGGCCGACTATTTAGTGTCTCAGCATCGTCAACGGGATAGCGAATGCAAATGTTATGGAGAGATGGTGAACTAACAATACGATTGTTTTTTTTTNNTTTTTTTTGGAGGATACGTAATGGGGAACTGGCGAATATTTTGTGAACGGCTGTACAAATGTGATGAATGCTAGCAGCTGCTCGAAAGTCGATTGGTTAGGACGAGTTGTCCGATGTAAAAACACTATACTAATGGCAAAATCTTGTATCCGGGCAATTTCCCCGTTTAAACTAGAATGGCGCGAGTGGACCTTGCTGCTGTTTTTTCTAAATTCGATTTTTAGCGAACTTACTAGTGAATTTGGATTATACCAAGAATATAGAGTAGCAAACCATTGCTATCTAATATGTGTAGGGCTTCACTACTGTGTAGGGCACTAAACTCCCACCTGTCTCGTGACGGACCATAACTTTCCATATTATCCCATTTCATTCAAGCAGTAGGCTTTTTACGGATCATTCGCCGGTGAAAATCTGAACGTCCTATGGCGCTCATTCAATACCCTCAATAAACGCTAGCGTTTTTGTTGGGGATCAGGGCGGTTACATCTTTCAGGGCAATTCGGCCTTTTTGATGGGCTCATCACCACCATTTCTAAGCAAGATGGTCAGAAATGTGTCTGTTTAGTTGTCGGTCAGTGTCAGATGATATTCCGGAAGACATAGCTTTAATATTAGGGAAATTAAACTAGGATTGACAAATGAGAACAATTTGACTTACAGAACACGCGCTTAACGCATACTGATACTGTTGTTATTCAGTCGCAATGTCAAGTCCTTAGTGCCTTTGTTTTATGCCTATTTAATGGTGTTCCCACCAAAGAAATCAACTCCTATTGTTACGATTACAGGGGACGTGCACTACCCAGTGGCTGCTTTCATAGTCCACGACTTGGCGAGCGACCGGCCGCGGACCTATCGAGCGAGCGGCCGAGCGACTAGTCGCGCGATCGGTCGCACGATCGGTCGCTCGCCAAATCGTGGACTATGAAAGCAGCCAGTTGGTTGATCGTTTCGCGACCTTACGCTTCGCTTCGGATCCTGACACGCTTATCCGAGATAGTTTCGGTGCGCAGAAGCCAGTTACACGTNGAATCTTTCTTCGTCTTTTCAGAATCAGATGACTCTCTTATCGTATGACTGTTATTAGGACTAGTAGGACTCATTTAGAATTAGGAAATGATCCTATATTATTTGCAGCTCATGAATCAGTGTTCTTTTGAGTTTATCGCTATGCCGAGAATTCAGCTGGGAACGATTTTGCCCTTTGGGATAAAAATCTGAATCACGTTTCATTATAGTAATGCAAGGACTTGGGGAAAAAAGTCGTTGTTGAAGTATCAGGAATGGCTGATCCGAGATTTCCACCTTTTTTCACCCATTTTTCCTTTGGACCTGATAATCCGTGAATGTTTATAAGAATTTCCTGCGAAAAGAAACATTCTGAGAATCATTATATGCCAGTGTCCTGAAGCCGATATTCCATAGTATTGAATGGACACAGAAGGGCTTCGTGTTGGTCAATCTTGTTCTCGGAACACGCCATGCACACAATCATCAATTTATTCACTATTGTAATATTTTAGTAATATTGAAAAAGCACTACGTGACATATTCATTTCCACTAAAAAACAATACATGTTAGTAAAAAGATAATAATGATTCAAAAAAGCTCTGAGATGAACAACGGAGGTCTCTGCCTTTTATAGAGATCGGTAGAGATGCGTATCCCTACAGTATCCAACCCTTGAGCCTTTTCTCCCCATCCTCCGTCGTCTTCTCTACATAAACACTGCTCACAGTACTGCCATACCCGATGGCCAGGCAACAAAGTGATCCGAAACCCCTTCATTATTGCCGTGATAAAGCAGTGATCACGTAGACAACCCGCTTGACATATTAATTCAATTCAACAATAACGAAGAGTCAACAACAACTAGTAGGAAAAGAGTAGGAAATGATAAAATGAATTGGAAAAGGAAACCAGATGTTCGGGTATACCCGTTTAGCGCTACCGTAATACTAAAACTAACAATTCATAGTTATCGTCACATTTGTAGCACTATCTTCAACTATTCATATTCCACACAGATCGAATCGGTCCTTCTGCTTTTGACGAGAACGATTTCGTCGACCTTTTCCACAGGTTTTTCCTTTTCTTTTACATCATCATGACCCCATTCTTGGACGTCTCCTGAAATTGAATTGCAACTGTCGAAAGCATCGTTTACGGTTGTATACAGGAAAGCAAAGGTCCAGTGAACCCTATCAGAGCCAACGCCTTTTTCGTAGCTCCCACAGGAAAAATTCCTTCCTTTTATTGTTTAATCTTCGATTTAGGTTAGCCACTCGATTCTTAGCGGTATGGTTGTTGATACCTCCTGCGGAAGAAGTACAGTAAGTCCAGGAGGTTGTGATGGAAGTCGGACGACGGCAGGTCAGGTGAGCATAATGGAATCGAGAAACTCCTGACCCAAACTGAGGGGGCCGAGTTGTGAGCAAAGCGTTCGGCTCTGAGGACTGTTGGCGTGTTTCCATCCATACAACCAACGTGTCCCATGTTTTGAAGGCCATCATAAAGGGTAAATAAATGGACCAACCAGTAGGCTAAATGGTTCAATCCCCTGCACATGCATGGTGCGATACTTGGTACGAGCCTCCGCTCGTGAGCCGAAAATACCCCATATTCATTAAATTACAAGGCAATCGAAAGTTCTTT